ACAAATAACAGTGACTAACTCGCTGTTACACAAATAACAGTGACTAACTGGTTGATACACAAATAAAAGTGACTAGCTGGTTGATACACAAATAACAGTGACTAACTGGTTGATACACAAATAACAGTGACTAGCTGGTTGATACACAAATAACAGTGACTAACTGGTTGATACACAAATAACAGTGACTAACTGGTTGATACACAAATAACAGTGACTAACCGAGAGATATATAAATAATAAGGACTAACAACTGAAAGTAATTTCATACAATAATGTATTTAAATCACTCTTGTATAACACTATACTCCACATACTCACTATGCAGTTCCGTACAAACAGCATATAAAACAAGCTTGTTATCAATTATCCAAGGTTTTTTAAAATATTACCGGAAATCTCAACTCTAGCTTGAACAATAACTATCCCATTGTGACAACTTTAGAGCTGGTGGACTGTTACCATCATTGTTAGCACGCAGTCAACCGAAAACACAACAAACCGTGGGGCGGAGTTAACACACAACCTTTACTTTCAAGTTGCAGGAGCTGTTTATCAACGAACATGAAATATCACCTATTAGACGATGGGGCGTCTCCTTGGGCACCACCTAGAAGCTTCATGCCCTTACAGCCTAGGAAGGGCAGGTGGGGTTCCTGTATGTAATTCAATATGCTGGACAATTTAAATGAACACTTTAAATAAAAAGATTCTCTTTTCTTTCACAAATGGAGGTATCAGTATTTGTTTGTTCCTGAATTTCACGTAAAGTTACTCCGGGTCTACTTGTACTGGCAGTCCCTAATTTTTCAGTGATAGACGAGAGGGAAAGCAGCTAGTAAACACCACCCACCGCCAACTCTTGGGTTACTCTTTTACCAACGAAAAGTTGGATTTACCGCCCTAACCATCAGACCATGCTAAGCCTTGGAGGTACAAGTAAGCAATAATCTCTGTTTGTATTAGAAACATTACTTTTTGTTGTTCAGAGGGTCTGATGTTGCTACCACAACATGATTAATAAAACCAAACAATGACATCATTTGTGTAAGAAACATTTTTCTCCCTGTTAGTACAAAGACGATACTACATTATTTGAAAAAATAGTGCATGGTTGAATGTTACCTTAAAACATTAACTATAGAGATATAAAAAGTAGGACATGGTTGAATGTTACCTTAAGACACCATGCACTACTTTTTATATCTCTATAGTTACTGTTTTAAGGTAACATTCAACCATGCACTACTTTTTATATCTCTATAGTTACCTGTTTTAAGGTAACATTCAACAATTGTAAAGATATGTTAGCTACTATAAAACAACATTAACAGTGTTAAACAATAAAGTGAGGTAACTAATTACAGAATCAGATAATGCAACTACACCTCATAATGTTTACAATTAAAACAAAGCCATCAACTGATTAAAACTTTACACCTATAGTAGATTTTCAAATGTTACAAAAACAAGTTATACCAGGTTATCTGTCATATTACTTGGGAACTTGTAAATGACACTGTTTAACAATTGAGACAGTAACTGCATGTTAAGAAAGAACAAGACCCTAACTAAAATGTGCTAAGAGTGCTTCTATAGAAACAAAACCATAATTACAATGTGCTAACAGTGCTTCCATGAAAAAAACTACAATGTTCAACAATGCTACCATGAAAACAAATCCCAAACTACAATGTCCAACAGTGTTACCATGGAAACAAATTCCAAACTACAATGTCTGACAGTGCTACCATGAAAACAAATCCCAAACTACAATGTCCAACAGTGCTACCATGAATTTGTTTGTAATTATGCACAAAGCTACACAATGGGCTATTTGTGCTCTGCCCACCACAGGTATCGAAACCCGGATTCTAGAGTTGTAAGTCCACAGACATACCGCTGTGCCACTGGGGGGGGCACTACCATGAAACTAATTTCAAACTGCAATGTCTGACAGTGCTACCATGAAAACAAATCCCAAACTACAATGTCCAACAGTGTTACCATGAAAACAAATCCCAAACTACAATGTCCAACAGTGCTACCATGGAAACAAATCTCAAACTACAATGTCCAACAGTGCTACCATGGAAACAAATCCCAAACTACAATGTCCAACAGTGCTACCATGGAAACAAATCTCAAACTACAATGTCTGACAGTGCTACCATGGAAACAAATCTCAAACTACAATGTCTGACAGTTTCCATGGTAGCACAAATCTCAAACTACAATGTCTGACAGTGCTACCATGAAAACAAATACCAAACTACAATGTCCCAACCTATGATGGAAACAAATCCTAAACTACAATGCCTTGACATGCTACTTTGGAAACAAAGCCAAAACTACAATGTCCAATAGTGCTATCATGGAAACTAATCCCAAACTACAATGTCAATACATGATTTCCATGGTGACAATAACCACACAATGATGAAGTAAAAACCTAAAACTATAATAACCAGACACTGTTAATCATACAATAGAATGATATCTTATATACAATAAGGATATTTCATACTTCATGATTCCACATTTCTGCAGTTTTAACAGTAGATTTATACAGTTTATATAATTTGAGTTTCGTCCAAAGGTAAAGTATCATCACCAATGAAGGAAGGTATCAAGTTTTAGGGTTGCTTCAGAAATGCAAACTCTTCAAATCTGATTCAATTTTTCTAAAACAAGTCTTTCACAACTGAGGTGACAGTGAAACGGGTAGCTGCTGCCTATTAGAGATACACTTGTAGAAATATATATTGGTAATTATACAATATGCTTATGTATCTCAAATGTAAAGGTCCATGTTTCAAAAGCCTTCTGCACAAATAGATTGTGCAGTCACCAACATATTTTTACAAGTGTTTCTCTAATAGGCAATTGCAACCCATTTCATAGTCAACTCAATATAAATACTCTGCCTAAACTATCGATCAAAAATATCTTTCACGAATTTGGCGCCATCTACTGGTGTGTGTTGAAGTTAAAACTTCAATAGGTAACCGTAAGACTACATAAAAGTTGAAATAACTTTGACTTAGTACTTATTTACAGAACGAGTAAGATGATAATCCAAGTTACGAGATGCACTATTTAACAGAACACAGAAACCAGGGTACATTTCTCACTTCATAATATAATAATCGAGGATTATGAAAACTATTTAACACATCTTAACTCCATTACAAGTTTCTCAAAGAGTATTAAGGGTTAGAAAATACTGACTGACACATGCTCTAGAACGTATTAGGCTCAAATTTTACAACGTTATAACCCACGAAACACTTCTAATAGCTATATGTTTCAAAAATATAAATAATGTACAATAACTAACACTACTATGAACCTGAAGCCTTGTAATACTTCCAGCAGACACATAGGCAGCTCCACTACATAAGTTTTCATGAACAAAACTCAATTCTTTTATTCACAATAACTGAGAAGTAAAATTGATTTAAGCCTTTCCTAGATTATGTGACAATGTTTTTAACTTGTCTGAAGAAAACATTTTAAATAAAACTTTTCTCAGGTAAAAATAAAATACAGAACAAGCTCCAGGGTGAATTTGAAAATGGTCCTCACGTACTGTATAAAAATATGATAAAAAAAACATCAAGAATAACAGGAGTATTAAAAATCAAAAACCAACAATAAAAAAAATCTCAATAATCATACACATACATCATGGGAGAACAAACCAGAGAAACTTTATCTCTCACTCCAACTTTGATACACATACATCATGGGAGAACAAACCAGAGAAACTTTATCTCTCACTCCAACTTTGATACACATACATCATGGGAGAACAAACCAGAGAAACTTTATCTCTCACTCCAACTTTGATACACATACATCATGGGAGAACAAACCAGAGAAACTTTATCTCTCACTCCAACTTTGATACACAT